ACTATATGCTGCTGAATACTTGCGGTCCTCGACATGAACACCTGAAGGCGCCCGATTTGGATGGTAGATCTATGCTGAGAGTCTAGGTCACTATTATGTACTCGCTGCATTTGCGAGCATAAGCTCATCTGTAGGGTTGGTAGGAGCAGCTTTCAAAAGGTTTACAGCCAGTTAGTTTGAAATTTGTGAAGGGAAGAGAAATTTACAATAATTATGGCTTAGAAGTATGCATTGGCGTCTCTTATCTTGTTATGTGAAGCACTCTTAGGTCAACTAACTCGCTATGGTTTGAGTAGTTATATTAGGAGGTTCTTTGAATAAAATGGATCATTTGATAAGAACAAGAGCTATCCTGTTGCTCGCTACCGAGTAATAAAGGCACGGCCGCTGACTACTATGTTCTTCTGAGTAGTGTCACTACGGCTTGTGCCAATTTGTTTGTGTTCACAATAAGGCGCGGTTGTGTTGATTGAAATATGGATTTGGAGCAGAACAAAGGAAACAAATAATTGAACAAGTAGTTACGGATGTTCAGCTCTTGAAAAGTATGTCCGAGCGAAGCATTCTTTTTCGAGTAATTACTCAATTGCTGAGTAATTGATGGATTGTTGAGTAATTATCCTTTTCATTCTATAAACCATCCGTCCGCAAAATGCTTCACGGGTTAGAATTAGTGGAAGGAAGAACGACCGCTAAGCAAACCGGAACCGATTTTTGCAGATGTATCAATCCAATGTTTTGATTAGGATAACAGCCTCCGCTATATAAGACAACCATTCGGTACACTCCGAGCCATTGCACGAGCTGCTGGCGTGGCAGCTGGATGTGCTCGTGCGGGGGCAGGGGGAGGGTGGAGCCGAAGGGTGGGGAGGGGCACCGGTGACCCCTCCCCTCTGCTTCCTTCACCTGCACGTGCTCAGCGGGACATGAGCATGTGCAAGTGGAGGAAGCAGAGGGGAGGGGATACGGTGAAGGGGGGGGGTAGCACGCTTGAGTGGAAGCACGCAGCAACAGCAAGAGATGAGAAAACAACCGCCAGAAAAATTTCAAATTAATCCATAATGAAGAAACGCACTAGGATGTTGTTTTGATTGTGTATCTCCTCACAGCGTATGAGTCAGCCATTAAGTACACTCTGCGTCATTGCACAAGTTGCTCGCGTGCTAGCTCACACGTACTCAGCCGGGCGTGGGAACATGCACGTGAAGGCGCTTGAGGGAAGGCAGTCTGTAAGCGGGATACTGTGAAGAGGCGCGTAGCCCACGTTTGAGTAGGAAAGCGCAGGCAAAGAGGAGGAAAGAACCGCTAACCAAACTGCAAACTTGATCATGTTACTGTAACTAAGAAAAATGTTCTTCGGATTGTGATAATACCTTCAGCTATATAGCACAACTAATCAGTACAATCCGAGCCATTGTTCGAAGCTCACAAGCTGCTAGCGTGACGGCTGGACGTGAGTTTGTGCGGGGAAAAGGTGGGGGGGGGAAGAGAGGGAAAGTGAAGGGCATTCTGTGAGCCCTCTTTGAACTGCTTCCACCGGACCTGGAAACATGTAGGTGATTAAGGCTGACTGGAAGGAGTCGAGTGAGGGGACGCGTGGGGCACGCTTCAACAGGAGCACGCAACTCCAGTGTAGAAAGCGACTGCTAGCGAAACTGCAAGCTAATTCATATTAACAAACTAACAGGTTGTTTTGATTGGATAATACCATCAACTATCCTACTATATATAATCGGCTATGTCCGTGTGTGTGTCTGTGTGTGCGTCTGTCTGTCTGTCACGAAATTCATAGCGAGCGTCGCAGAAAAGATAGGATGACAGTTCCAAGAAGTGATATACACGGCAGGACGGGAACACTTTTGGTGGGTGACAGGAGGTGATAACACTTGATAAGATTCGATAAGGGGCCTTAGAAGGGAGGGTGACCGAAATCGTAGCGCGAAGTTGCAGCAGCTGCGGGACCTTGATTTCAAGAAGTGATATACATGGCAGGACGGGAACACTTTTGGTGGGTGACAGGAGGTGATAACACCTTGATAAGATTCGATAAGGGGCCTTAGAAGGGAGGGTGACCGAATTCGTGGCAAGTTGCAGCAGCTGCGGGACCGTGATTTCAAGAAGTGATACACACGGTAGGGTGGTGGCTGACAGGAACTGATAACATGTGATAAGATCCGATAAGGGACTCTAGGCGCGGGTGTCACCAAATTCTTAGCGCAGGTTGCAGCGACCGTGGGACCTTGATTCCAAGATGTGATATAGGGTAAGGGAAGTGGATCGCTTACTGCCACAGTGCGATTGATATGGTCTAGGTATCACGATCTCAGTAGTTCGTACACAACTCACTCCTATGCGTAGCGTGGCACTGCGGCTGCGTTTGGTGCGGTTTGGAAGAGTCGTTCTGCACCAGTTTTTGAAGCAGGCAGTGGCATTTCAGCTGTTATTGTATCCTTCGTATTATTCGTTTTCTACCACTTTTTTGTCGCATACGCGTTGCAACAAAAGGCTGAGAACGGCTTCAACAGTGTGCGCACTCCTTCTGGCTGACACGCCCCACCGGTCCGCAATGATGAGGACTGTATGTCCGCGCGGTGCGTCTGTCTCTTTGACACGAAATTCATAGCGCCGGTCCCAGTAGCAGCGAGATATTGGTTCCAAGAAGTGACGTAGAGGGTGTGACGGGAACACTATTGGTGGGTGATAGGAAGTGAAGTTGATATCAGTTGATAATATCTGATAAGAGGCCTCAGAATGGAACTCTCAATATTCGTAAGTTTTCAAGGGCTGTTTCTTTTGATGTCATTAGAATGTGATATGTGAGCTCTGAATTTACTGGTATTCCTCACGCCCTTTAGTTCAACATGTATCTAAACAATGCAAAAGGTAGGAAAGAAATGGAAATGAGTCATGGGATTTATTAAAGAAGATAGAGTGGCTTCGTTTCGCCTCTACTCAGACGAACCACTTTATTCCATCCATCCCAGTATCTGTATATAAACAAGCCCACATAGATTTTTGTTCGTGTGCCAGCGTACGCCAGCGTATGCCAGCGTCCACCAGAAGTGGAGAGTATGGATAGGAGGGGTAGCAAACTACTGGATAAGGCGTCGTGGACCGGCGTGTGCAGCCGCACAGCTGCACCACAAGGTGCAATTCCATGCTTTGGCCGTTGTTTGGTGCGGTTGCACACGCCGTAACTTGCGACGCCTAATCCAGCAGACTACTGCCCTACTACTTTCCCACACTCTCCACTCCTGCTGGCGTACGATGCAACGCTAGGTCGATATAAAAAGGATTGTGAGGGCAAAAAAAAGACGCTTTTCTTCCTCGACTTTCATGGCGCTATAGTTGCACTTGATTGAAGTTTGATTGAACATTTCCACCATTATATTCAACAGCACATTGTACACTATCAAGGTACCCCGCCACAGCCTTCTGGACGAGCGCCATCGAGAGATTCTGCCACGCGATCGAGATTAAGCCTGAGTTCAGCGAGGTCGCTGATTAGACCACCCTGTTGGACCACCTTGCTGAGCTCCTCCCGGACCCGGTAATCGGGTGGGTTTGAGTCATATGAAACATTTGGATATTCAGTTTTCTTCAGGTTCTCAACGCCCTTCGATTCCAAGTAGGCGAGAGTTTTCGATTTCCATGTGCTGGCACCCAATCCTGTAGCAGTACGAAGTTTCCAAGATGGTACAGGCGACGACATGAAGGCAGGATATTCTCCTCGAGTTGGTCGATGTAACCGTCAGCGTTCACTTTCAGTCCGGGTCCACGAAGAAAATATCGGTCTTCCCATTCCAGGAACTTCCGGTCCATACCATCAACCCGCGCCTTGGCGACTGCGGTGAAGATGATATCCTGGACCGTAGCGACGTTGTCGGAGCTGTTGGAGGTCTTCCAGATCAAGAGTGCCGGTCTCCAGGTAGCTGTCCATGGGTGACTCCATACAAGAAGTTTCGCAGCTGTTTGGAGGTGACGTGAATTCAGGTCTTCTCCAGTCAGGCTGCGATTGGAGATGGCTTCATATTTTGGTGTACATGAAGGTGATGGACGAGAGCCTGCTCCTGCTTATCGAGGAACATCTTGGGTATCTTCCGCCCTGGTACTCGTATCCACGTCTTCTATCTGGGCTGCGTAAACTTTACTGATATGTGACTCAGCCTAAGTGTCTTTTTTTGACCCCCTGTATACTTCCTTAGTCGCTCGACCGCTGGTATCCGGTACGCTAGATCTTACCCATACTTTCCTAGTCGCTGTCGCTGGCTTACGCTCGAAAGGCTTGAAACGCTGCCGTACGCTCATGCAAAGTACAAACGCAGCCTAAACGTTGTCAGGTTTAATGTTTGTTACGCATGTTCGAATAATTATAGTTGAACTGGCCTCTGTCACACGTCAGGCTATTTTGAATAATAGGCATATTTTCTATCCATGTAGTGCTGCGGGGAGATGCCAAGGGTAGTCTATAGTTTTGATGCTACTTCATTCAATTCGCCTACGAGGCAATAAACTCGATCTGTTGATCGTGTAGGTAAAGCTGCGTTCATAATTTGCGACGCGATCCTGCAGTTTGGGAGACTTGCGATTTGAGAGATCGCGCGAGGGGCAAAGTACAGTTTTCGATAGGGTGATAGCGGGAATCGGCGATCCGCCGTTTTGGATGGGTCGGCGTTTCGGACGATTGTACGCCAAAGGAGGGGATGGGTATCAATCAGCGTGGGGTCGCATCCAAATTGCAAACAACAATTGTCCGATCGCCGAATCTTCGCAATGGCTCGCGACTTGCGCCCATCGATACTCATCCATTCGTCAGCGTGCAACCCCGGATCGCCGATTCTCCCGAAGAGCGGGGTGAATACCCGTACTTTTGTCGCCGCGCGATCTTTCAGATCGCCAACTCTCCCTAATCGCCGAATATCTTAGTAGCGAAGTATTGACCAGGCCAATGGAAATGGCTCTGGCTGGTGACATAACACATGACACTGTCTAACTAAGAGATGAACTTTTTTTCAGATACACCTTTCATCGAGGTGCTCTGCGTGTTGATTATTCTAAAAATGTATGGCAATAGACGTGAAACCATCACAGCTCGAATTGCGAATATGGCCGCAGTGTTGGTGATATTCGTGGACAGCATTGTTACGGTGAAAAGATTTTTCCGTTGTCACAAGCCCGCCCTTCTATCTCCTTTTTCTTTTGGTATGCAACCCTTTCTACCTGTTCCTTGGACATACATTTTCGTTGTCTCCCGCCTTCATTTTTGAATCCCCAAGGTGCTGCAACTTTATGAAGGCTTCGTTTTTCTGCTTACGCTTCACTTTATCTATTTCAGATGTTTGCTCAAAGATCTCTGACGCGTTTTTTGATTATCATATGTTTACCTTTGCTTGTTTTGTTTGGTATGGCTAAAATTCTCAGACCTGATTTACCTTCAGGTGAGTCAAATGCTTGCTGCATGAAGGGATTGGAATCTAAATACGACAGTGGGTACGAAAGTTTTTCAGGTCTCCGAAGAAATCCCAGCAAAGGCTTGAAGAAGTCGTTAGCCTTCTCAATAGGTGCTATAATAGTGAATATTTTGTTAGCAGCTGCTTTCATTTTGCCGGCTGATCGAATTCAACCTAACCAAATTGTAACGGTGATCTGTCTCACCAACACATCCCTTTACTTTCTTTACTACATTTTCGAGAAGGTAAGCATTTTTCCATCATTGCTGTTATCATCTTAAGTATGTAGTATACGTATCACCCTCACGTTGGGACAGTGCCTTTTTGCTAACGTTTGGTCCCAAGGAGTTTGGAGCTGATATATAAGATTGTATAGTGTGAGAAGGGCTATATAGCTGCAAAAAAAAAGATGTGCTGTTCAAACGTGGCATGTTTCAGTTGAACAGAGGAGAACAACTTTGCAAATTTTCGCGTGTGTCCTCTGCTACCGCCGCCATTTTATGGGCGATTGCTCTTTATTTCTTTCCTTACCGAGGAGACGAACTGGGCGGTAAGTTTTTACGGTCTCTGCTGTTTTGCTAGTCTTTCTAGTGTTGTCTCTACCAAAAACAGCTGAAATTTTTGAAGGTCTATAGGTATTGGTAGTCAAAGGTAATCGCAGAGTGAGTTCATACTTCGCGATCTGATCTCACGAGCGATCTGCTGATCGCACGCGCGATTTAGTCGTTCTGGTAACGCGGCCAAGACCGGAGGCGTTCCACAGCTAATCGTGAGACCGCTGCAACGGCCCATTCAACTTATTTCGGGATGAATGATCTTTTGTTGACTTTTTCACCTGTTCATCTGTTACAAAGAATGGATGACGACTAGAAATCAGCGAGGGGTCTGTTAAAGAGGATTCTGTGTGATTACCATATTAAAGTAAAAGAGTGGTCACGAACAGATCGAGAACAGCAAAAATTATGCAGAGGGCTGTGCAAGTGAACGCAAAGAAGAACCGAAAGCATAAAAACCGCAGAATCTTTTCACCAGGGGGCCTTGCGGCGGTCCACCGATTAGCAGTCCTGGTCGAGCGATGAGCGCGAGCTAATAGATCAAGTATGGATGCACTTTTTCTAACATAAGTATGTGGAGTTAAGCTTGTCACTGTTTAGCTGAGTCCTGCTCAAAGCCGTGCACAGAATCGCCCGTGCATTTTCCTATCCTTCTTTGACTATCACGATCTCTGGCATATCACATCCTCATTAGCTTCGCTGGTAACATTGATGGCAGTATCGACACTGGACGATGCAGTGTCGTCTTTGCCTACGAACGAATTGTCCGTATTTTAGTACTGAAGAGTTACTTATTTTGCTTTCACGATGCTTTATTAATCTGCAACTCCATAATTCCTGCTTTAAGCACTTAATTTGCATCACCAAATGTAATTTTACATGTTTAAATTTTCCAAAAGGGCTTCATAAACTCATGGAAATTAACCACATCATATCTTACCTATTGACTATTGGTTTTCATTTGATAAAATTATTTTTCCATCTCTTCATGCCTAACCACTCTCCGAGTTCCTCTGATGACCAGTTATGTCACCCGGTGCGCTCTGGCGCCACGACGCCTTAGAGTTCAGGCGGCCCATAGGCTCAGATTTTTCTTGGGAAAGTCTCCATCACGAGATATTCTACTAGGGAGAGATGGCAGGTCGAAGTAGCAGTTCAGTAGGATATTCAGACTGTCTAATGCAGCTTTGGACGCTGATTAGGGTCCATCTTCCAAAACTGCTGTGCCCTCCAAACGAGGTTAGGCTGCGTTCATACTTTGTGGCAGCGTCCAACAGATTTGCTCAGGTTCAGAAGTGCCCGCGAAAACGCTGTGTAGGCTAGCGGGTGCTATTAGTCGCTAGTGCACGCAGACGCAAAGTATGGAGTAGTATTACAGAGGTTTTTTGGGAGAGCATACGCATACATACTCGCCACAAATATCCGAAGCGAAACTCCAACGGTGTCTGTCGTTTGCTCAGTGGCGGGACGATGCCTGGCTGGTCGAGAATTCTTTCAAAACTTGTGCGTTGTGAGAACTGTCAGTGCTGGTGGTAATTACCGGTTCCGATTGTCATCCTTCTGTATGTAAATCGCTAAGCATGTCTGTGCGCATGTGTGCGTCTGCCTGTTTGTCACGAAAATCATAGCGCCGGTCCCAGTAGCAGTCAGACATTGCTTACAGAATGATGTTGGCGGTGTGACGGGATTATTATTGGTGGGTGACATGGAAGTGATATCAGCTGATAATATCTGATAAGAGACATTAGAACTGGGAAGATCGCTATATTCATAATGCGGTTTACACATCAGCTAGGTGCTGGTCAAGATATGCCATAGGGTTTGGGCAAGAACATTGTTTTACATCTGGTAGGGGCTGAGCACGAACGTTGAGGTAGCCGTGGTTCAAGGTAGTAGAGCTTCCACACTATCGTGCTATGAAGATTTAGAGGTAAGGGTTTTGATTTTGGGTGACAAGTAGTCATATCAGTTGAAATGGATGAGAGGCCATCTTCAACATATCTCTTACCAATTATTACCAATACGCTGCCAAGTATTAGAAGCTAAGGGAGTGAACCCCTCCTTTCACCCGTTACTTCTCTGATGTCAGTGGGAATTGAACTCATCCTCTTGACTCTATATATAATATTTCGCTAGATGTATTTTTGTGCGCGCCCGTCTGTTACGAAATTGATAGCGCCCGTCGCAATAGCAGGAGGACGTTGGTTCTAGGAAGAGATGTATAGGGCTGGATGGGAACACCGTTGGTGGGTGGCAGAAAGCGATAGCAGCACATAAGATGCAATGAGAGACATAATAGTGGGACAGTCGCTAAATTCACAGCTATCGTCGCAGTAATAGTATGACATTGGTTCCAAGAAGTGATATAAAGTAGGTGACGGGAACATTACTGGTGCATGACAGGTATTGATAGCAGCTGATAAGATCTGTTAAGGGGCGTTAGAACTGAGGGAACAACCAATTCAAAGGGTGGGTCGCAGGAGCCGTTGGAAGTTGGTAGTGGGTGAGATAGCAGACGTGATGGGAACTCCAATAGTAGCTAACAAAAAGAAATAACTACTAATAGCGGACAAGAGGTGTTACCGCTCTTGTCTCTTTTTGAGATGGTCGAGCTTTCACGCTATCGAATCATAAATGTTTAAGGATAGAGCATAAGTGACAGTTCGCAACTATTGACAAATAAGAAATGGTTCCTTCGGAAGCAAGAATATTTGGACAAGCCAAAACTTTTAACTCTGAAAGAGTAGCTTCCGGCTTCGGGACTTGAAGAGAGCTCGTACGAATGCAAAAGCAAAAACGCATTTACTAGGGTATCGAATCCTTGACCTTACACGCATAAGGTCGATATCGTATCGTTTACTTATAAATTTTGTTTGAAGTGGCTCTTTTCGAAAATTTTGCTCGAAGAGCCCTTTATAAACATTTTCTACACACTTCACACTATATTATATCTATATTACATGCCCCGCCCCCAGATAACCCCGCCCTTTTTGTGGTGACACAATTTACGCTGTGACTAGTCACATTTTACACTTAGTATAGATGTTGCAGCAGTTTTGCGTGTGAGTGCTGATAGGCTACGGCATAAAAGCCGTTAGCTGAGAGGGTAAAAGCGGCCCTGGTGGTAACGGATAGCGCACTCGCCCGGAAAGCGTGAGGTGCGGGTTCGACTCCCGCCTGGGGCACGACTTTTGCCCACAACTCAGCATTCTTGTGATACCTTAGAACGCGAAGTGCGGCGTAAAACAGCACTTATCGTAACAAAAAGATATCGTAACCGTTGTACATCAACTTTTTGAATTAGGTGGGAGTAGGTTCCTGCAGAAACCTCCGTATTTTTTTCGGAAGGACATGGAATTGTAGGAGGCGGATTCTTTTCCGCTGTTTCATCCAAATCTCTTTCAAACCACTTCAAATGGGTTTCAGCATTTTTTGTATTGAATTCAACTATTTCGGGATGAATTTCAACACTTTTCTAGATACATTCAGCACCTCGTACTTTTTTATGTTTCATATCGGTGCGAAGCATGAAAAAAGTAGCAAACTCCAAAAAAAAATAAATATCAAAAAACCAACGATTGTCTTGCAACGGATGGTGGTCAGGTCAAAGTGGCCATCTGCGATGGGCTAATCACAGAAACATTGCTGGAAAGACTTTCACCATTGCTAGTACATAGTTGCGGAACTGTAGTCGCCTTTACTCAGAACTTAGTGTGATCTTCAACATATCTGAGTGCCTGCGGCATGCATAAATGCTTATGTATTCAGGTGCCTTAGTGTGCGCCACAAGCGTTTTCGCGCAAGACGGGTGTTAGACTTGGGTTCAGGGAGCAAAACTTTGGGCAGCTATATAGTCGAAAGTAAGAATTCAATCTACTTCGAAAAAATGGGTGTAGACGGATGATACAGGGGTTAGCAGGCTTGAGTGTTACGTTGAAGAAGCATTCTGCAAAGAGGTGCTGTTTCATTGTCTGGGAGAATTGATTGTCTGTTGGAAAAGTGTTGGATTCGATAACACCAACGTCACCGTTGTCCCTTGTTTTGACTTATAGTTAGGCATGATGTCGAATTTTCAATCACTGCGGCTAAACGAGGTTGTTAGGTGAATCCTTTATTGGCCTAACGTTTCGACCTTCTCGTCTTCTTCAGAGGCCTGAAAATGGCTCGAAGCTTTTGTTTGTTACCTACCCAACCAAATGCCCTCCATGCTCTAGTTTCCGACATGTGTTATGAACGCTTCTGAACAACCCAATAATAACTGCAAACTACTCATCCAAGGCCCACCATGCGGACGTAAGATTGGTGAGGACGAATGGACCTCACTTGAGTCTCATCGTGTCGCATAAATCAGGCCAATAAAAGGTATCATCTTACAACCTCGTTTGGCAGAAGTAATTGAACTGTTAGGTTTGATTCTGAAACAGTCACATTCAAATAAATGCAGCCACGCCCACCCAGCCTCCGGGATTTGGAGTGTAATTTATCGAATAATCACTACGACAAGAATCACTGAGCATACAAAATCATTTCAACTTCAGGGAATCTTTGATTCGCAGACTGTTCATCGGACATGTTACATTAACTAATTTTGATGTATTGACAGCGAGAGATAACAGAGAAAACAAGAAGGAGAAAAAACAAAAAAATGTTAATTGAAAACCTAGATCATTGATAACAAATGAATACTAAACCAAGGATGGATGACAGGTCGAGAAGGCATTAAAATAGATGTTCAGCTTTCGCACTCAAATGAACACTATAAAAACCAGGTCCAACACTTTC